CCTCCAGAGCTGCCGCGACAGCCCCGGCGACTCTGGGCGGGCCCCGTGTCCCAGCTGGGTTGGAGCCGAGGGGGGGCAGTGCCCTGCCTCTGCTGCCCCTCGGGGTGCCCAGCCTGCCTCGTCGCCTTGGCCCGGGGGGGGGGACCCCTTGCTGGTGAGAGAGATGGCGAGGGGTAGGCAGCAGCACCCCGGGCTGGGTGGCTCTGCAGGACTCTCCTGCCCTCCTGGAGCATTGACCCGCGCAGTGCTATCTAGTACACTTTGCTCACTTCCCCACCATTCCCAGCTTTCCTGGGAGCTGCTGTTTGCTTTTCTCTGAATTATGACTCCAGCTTGTGCCTTTGATCTGGGCTGTGTCAGGCCACCCGTTGCCAGCCCCTCTACTGCCTTTGAAGTGCAGTCACCTTCCCGTCTTCGGACACTGCTTTTGCAACCTCGGGAATAACCCTGGCCCCACGGGACTGAGACATCCAGGGCAAGACAGGAGCATCCTAGTGGTGGGTGAAGTGCTCAGCATCCCTCCTCCTTCCTGGGACATGGTGATGGGGATCTGGTGATGGGCCAGGCTAGCTTGTAGCTTGGAGACAGGGCAAAGAAGCATTGAACTGTGTGTTTGCCCAGTGGCAAAGCAATCCCGGTGATGCTAGCAGGGTGCTTGGACCAGAGCGTCGCTCCCTCCTGTGGCAGTGGGCAGGGAGAGAGGAGGTCTTGGCAGAAGTTGCCCCTGGAGCAGCACAGAGCAGGGATGGGGGGATCTGAGGGGCTGCCTGACCATGGAGGAGAAGCGGGTGTGCTCCCTGCACAGCACTGTCCCTGCCACCGTGGCTCGCAGCTGCCTCTGGCCCTCTCCTGCCCCGGGAACTGCGGGGAGCAGGGCCAGCCCTGTGGTCCCGTCCTGGTGCCTGCCCCAGGGCAAGGTCCGAGTCCAGTCTGGCTCGGCTGTGGGGACAGAGGTGGCTGGGCTGGCTGAGTGCCCTGAGACAGAGGAGTTTAGGGCAGAGCCAGGCGCGGGCTCCGGGGCTGGCGGAGGGGCAGGCAGGGAGTGTCCCTGCAAGCACCGGAGTCTCTTCCCTCCTGCTGCCCTGTCTTTCCCAGGTGGCTTGGGCCAGGGTACCAGCCTGGCTTCTAGCCTCTAGTCCTCATACCCTTGCCGGCAGAGTGGGGGACGCGCTCCAGCCTGCCCCAGGCAGCAGAGCTGAGACCTGCCCTTTACGAGCACCAGCCAAACCACCCTGGCATCAGCTCTGCCTTCCCTCCCCTCCCGGCGCGGAGCACCGAGGGGGTCTCAGCATGCCCTTTCTGCCACTGGGAAGCCGGGCCCAGGCTTTGGACTCTGGCCTTGAGTGGGTCTGAGTGTCCCCGTCCCCTCCCCGCTCCCCTGGCCCGGATAGGAACTGGCCTTATCTGTTACACTTTGTTCTCCTGCTGTCTGGGTGTGGAGCAGAGCAGAGATTAGTGTGCAGACCTTTGACACACACACACACACACACACAGACACCCACACAAACAACCATGCGTGTGCATGCACATATAACCACGCTGTACTACACGCATGTACAGCCACCCTTGCACACGCGCACACACACACTCATTTACACATATGCACGGCCCCCCATGCACACGCACACACACAGCAGCACCCCCTCCCCAGCCCAGCCACGCTCCCCGGCGCACACATGCATTTTCACTGCCCCGCACAAGCACCCTCTTCTGTCACTCTCCAGCCCCCGTTGCTGCTTGCCCTGCCTGTGCTCCCGCCGGGGACCGGCTACGTCCTCGGGGTGATGGAAGAGGCTGAGCTGAGCTGGGGCGAGTGTTTGTTTTCCGGCCGTGCGTCGCATTAGGCTCCCAGCAGAGCGTGACGCTGGCCCAGCCTGGCAGCCTCCCCGTCGCAGGAAACAAGGTCCCCTGCGCACGCCGGCACGGCCCGCCACAGCCAGGCCATCAGGGTGAGATCGGCGTCCCGCCGCCGCACAGCCCCTGCCGG